CACACACACACACACACACACACACACACACACACACACACACACACTCACATCACAGCAGCCGGCTTTGTCTGTGTTATTACTGGTGATGGATGTGTGTTATCTCGAGCATCCCTCTGATGCATCAAGAAGCGCTGACCTGTCTGTGTCAGACCTGGCTGGCCACAGGATTTATGGGCTTCATCTGGTTATGGTCGGCTGATGAAGCTGTGCGTGAGAGATAGAGAGTGTGTGTGTGTGTGTGTGTGTGTGTGTAAGTACACATGTGATCAGCCGGATCACCAACCTGCTGCTACTACTACTACTGCCAGTTCACTTGGAACCTTCTGATGCTCACGTAATAGAAATCGGATCTGGTGGCGAGCGGAAATCACGACAGACCCCGCCCACATGCTAGTCAGCTTGTTTCCTTTAATGAAAGTTTATTTGAAAACACTGTACGTTGCCATTTTTACACAGTTCCATCAGTGACTGAGGTGTTAATAGATTGCCTCGTCTGCTTTGAATATATTTGCATGAGGAAAAACTCGTTTGGGGAAGCATTCCATCACGTTACTCGGGAGTTTCAGCTTCACTGGCTCCCACCGATTCTTCATTCAGCGAGATGATTGAAGGATGTGTTCGTGTGTAAACTCGTTAAATGGCACCCATCAATTGCTGTTTCTCCGCAGTGACTTAATGGGTTGATGATGAGGGGAGGAGAGAGGAAGAGACAGAAAAAAGTATGGAGGGCAAAAAGAGAGACAGAGAAAGAGAAGAGAAGATTCGAGAATGCTGACTGCAAAGCTGATTCCATCCGATTCACAGCAGTGGCTTTGGTCTGATGGTGTTGGTGACCATTGTGTGTGTGTGAGTGTGTGTGTGTGTGTGAGTGTGTGGAGGGGTACTCCACATATCTGTGCATGCAGATACAGAAAGAGAGATAACTACGGCATCTGTGTGTGCAACAACAATATGGTGCGTCAGTGGGGTACTCCATGGATGTAATTAGGTCAGAGTGTGTCTTGTCTGTAAAACATTAATTAGTTTCTAGATTCAAATATGATTAGGATCCCCCCCCACACACACACACACCCACACACACCTCAAGCCATTATCAACACATAGACATAAGAATCCCTCTGGTGTCTTTCACGTCAACAATTAAATGAAACAAGGGAAAGACACACACACACACACACTCATATATTCGAAGACACTTAGTCATTCCCACAATGCACAGCAGTTTGATGTGAAGAGACGAGCCCGTCTACAGGGACTCTATTGTCTGAAGTTGTGTGCTGCATTGAACAGCGCACACTCCCCCAGATGCAGTAGCAGGTTTTCACTCTATTGCAGCACTCGCTCTGTCTGCTGAATTACAGCTAGCATCAGCAACTAAGTCTGAGAGCCATTGGCACACGCGCACACACACACCCCTCCGACTGCCGCTAGAGATGGAAACGGTCTCCATGGCAACATTCCCCTCTCCTGTTCAGCGCTCCGCCAGTAGCAGGTCCACTGAGGGCGTGGGGGGGGGGGTACAAAACAACAAGCTCTTTCTCTTTCTCTCTCTGTCTGTCTAATATTATTGTCACTGTTAAACAGAGGGCTAGCCTCTGCTGCGATATGTGTGTGTGTGTGTGTGTGTGTGTGTGTGTGTGTGACAGACATTATGCTATGCCTTTTTAGCCCGGGGCTGCATAATAATTACAGTCACCATTAGCCTCTCCTAAATCCAGGCAGATGTATGTATTTGAGGAGGAGAGGAAGAGCTACCTTAAGGGTAGGTGTCTGCTATTTACATTTGGAGGATCTGGAGCTATGCAGAGACATCGAAAACATTTTGGCAATGGAGTATATATATATAGCAAATATATCATATTGCTCCTATATTTTTGTTCCCCTTTTCACTGCACTGCATAGATTGAAAGTAGAAAAAAAAGTGCTACACATGCATACACATATATCAGCTGCAAAAAGTGAATGGTTTCAAGGTTTATGTTTTTTAATGAAGGAGCAAGAGAGTCACTGAGCAGCACGGGGTCTCGCAGCCGGGAGGAGAGAGTTGAATGGCGTTATTAGTGTGGCGGCAGCGTCCTTTAAAAAGCAGGAGTTCAATTAAATGACACAAATTGGCTCACTTCAGTCAGACGAGGGGTTGAATTAGTTGATATCATGCAGTGACTCATTCAGTGGCGTCTCCTAACCTATATTACACCAAACTAGGGTATCTGTGCCGGAGACTCCTCTGTGATTTCGTCACAAGATTCCCCCCTCCCTTCCCCTGACATGCTTTTTCTAGAAGTCACTCTACCAGATCTCACTGAAAGGTCTTTCTTTCTGTCTGACTGATACCTTGACAGCTTTGTGTATACGTCCACACTGACATTTTCTCCCCCTCTCTGCTCTGCTTCCTGTGTTGCAGCTGACATTATCTCAACGGTTGAGTTTAACTCATCGGGGGAGCTGTTGGCCACCGGGGATAAAGGAGGCAGAGTGGTTGTCTTCCAGAGGGAGCAGGAGGTAGGAAATGCCAACAATGCAACACTAATTATGCTGCCCTTCTGCTGAGAGGGTTTGACAGCCCTGAAACATTGAAGTTGATGTGTTTACTTTCAGATAACTAGCTAGCAAAAGGATAGCTAGCTGTAAATTCAGCAGCAAATATCTAAAAACCACAAACAACAGAAATCTGAAAGCTAATCATCATTATAATCATTATATAATATAATCATTATCATTATAAACTCATGTTACATGGAGTGGCATTGTTTAAAACCACCTAAATGTATTCTGAATTCCAGTTAAGATGCCAAGGTTTCCAATAATACCAAATCCGTCATGCTGAATTACAGAGAAATGTGTGCAGGTGGTGCATTGTACATCTAGAATTTTACATTTCATTTAATGGAGGAGCCATGAAGATATAGCATCTTGGAACTGGCTATTAATTCAATATGAATGTGCAAAAACACTGTAGCTGCTATGGAGTGCTAGAACAAGCAAATAATGACAATAAAACAAAGCATACAGTATGTGTGTGTTTACGCTAGCGGCTCTATGGGGCTGTACTAGGTACACATCAGAGCTTTGCGCTAACAGTAACATCAGCATGCTCATACAGTCACAGTGACCATGCTAACAGGCTGATGTTTAGCAAATATAATGTTTACCATGTTCACCACCTTAGTTTAGCATGCTAATATTTGCTAATTAGAACTAAACACAAAGTGAAACTGAGGCTGATTAGACAAATTTAGTTTGTCACGTTTGTGATCATAAACAAAAGTATTATAGATTTAACCTGATGATGGCTCAAGCCGCTAACACGGCTACAATATTTGATCTCACTTTGAAGCTACTTAAGGGGAAGATTAAGGAGACTGGAATGTATATTCATACCAACCAGCAATGCTTTCTTTTTCTCAAATGTTGCACACCTTGTTGAGGAATTAAAGTCCTTATAATAAATTTGTGGGAAACAACATTTAATCTTGTGGAGTCAACAGCAAACAGGTCAATCTCTTACCATGTTTCTCTTCTTGCAGAGTAAGAGCCAGCCCCAGCGTCGAGGGGAGTACAATGTTTACAGCACATTCCAGAGCCACGAGCCAGAGTTTGACTACCTGAAGAGTTTGGAGATTGAGGAGAAGATCAACAAGATCAAATGGCTTCCTCAGCAGAACGCCGCCTACTTCCTGCTCTCCACCAACGGTCAGTCAGTTAGCTAAGGCGGCCCCCGCTGCTGTGGGAAAAAATGGTCAACGAGACCATTAATCTGTCGTGAGAACGTGTTCAGATGTGGGCAGAGTGTTGCTGTTACTCAATAACGGTGTCAAGTAAAGGCATGATTCATTTCTCACTTTGCAGAATGGTCAGATATACAGCTGATGTCAGAGATGTTATTAATATCACATAAAAATGTCTTTTTAACCGTGTTTTCGCTTGACTGAGCAAGTGCGACCAGCAGAAGCGTTTCAGATTGAGAACTTCATGCATGGCTGCCACAGCAGGAACACACACACACACACATCAAAGCATGTGCCACCACACGCCATACATGCACGCCAGCTCAAACAGACACACACACATCAGCGAGAGAGATGTCTTGCAGATTGTGGGCTTCATGCGTGGCTGCTACAGAAGTGCTAGCGGTGGCTGGAGCAGATGGAGGAGGGTCCTGTGGCGATGGCCTCGCTGCTCTGACACCAATATTCACAGCGGAAATTAAAAGAGAAAAAAAAGAAGGCAACAACCTGACTGCTGCCGCCATCCCCCTCTCCAGACAGACAGAGAAGATGGGATGTAACTGGTGTTTGTGTGGCGCAGAACTGAAAAGCTCCCAGATGGCTTTTTCAGGGGGGAGCGTATACTGCAGCCTGGAAATGTAGTCAACATATAGATTGATATCAGTGACATCAGAATGTACACAGGAGCTGCCATTCATCATTTCTGCTGGCTCCAGACCAGATACATGCCAGATTGGCCGCCCAACCCCCTGCATCCATCTTGTGTCTGAGATTCACTGTAGTGAGCCATGATCTAACTGTATTTTGTGTTTGTGTGTGTTTGTGTGATGTATCCATTCCAGACAAGACAGTGAAGCTGTGGAAAATCAGCGAGAGAGACAAGCGTCCGGAGGGCTACAACCTGAAGGATGACGATGGACGGATCAGAGACCCATCGACAATCACCTCGCTACGGGTAAAGGGGTCATACATGACTATCAGGTCTAACACCACCCTAAATGTCACATGGAGTAAGGGAAATGGCTTCAAGTCATGTCTAGCTGGTGTGTTAAATGTTCTGAGTCAAATATCAGGTTATGAAATTCCAGATTAACCTTAAATGGAAACAAAAACAAAAACAATTCAAGCGACAGTCTGATGGCCTCTTGAACAGACACCTGGGTAGCATAGCTTAGCATTACGACTGAAAACAGGGAATCAGCTAGCCTCTCCCCACATGGGAGGTGAATTTTGTGACCTTTGGAAAGAGCCACACTAGCTGTTTCCCTTGTTTCAAGTCTTTATGCTAAGCTAAGCTAACTGACTGCCATCATTCATTTCATAATTAACACCTGCATGTCAAAATGTTTTCTGTGACAAAGATCTATCATATGTTTGCACATTGATTAGTCCAAATACGTACAGCTCAGATAAGCTGATTAAATATAAATTGAGCATTCGGTCATTATGCTATGATAGCCTTTAATCCTACATAAACTTCTTAGCAACGCATTCTGTATGACTGCACCGTATCTGTCAAAACTGACACAGTTTTCCCTGTAATATATGCTCACCTTCAATACTGATAAATGACACTCACACTAGCAAACACACAATCGTTGGACAATTTTGAACTTACACTGGCAGAAGAAAGTGAGAATGAGTGATCGATATGTTCACTGAGGTGAAGACCATGAAGGGATCATCCTCTCTGCCCCCCCCCCCCCCACACTCCCCGACCTCTTTAATTTTCACACAAAGCAGGCAGGCACGTAGCACAGTGTGTGTGTGTGTGTATATGTGTGTGTTTGTGTGTGTCTGCCATAGTAGATTAGTGCTGTGTTCAGCGTGTCTGTCCCTCTTTGTCTGGCTGGCCAGGGGATCATAGCAACCTGGAGGACAGGCCGGGACTGTGGCAATCCTGTTTAGAGGCTGTGAAATCTGCACATTGGGGGGGAGAAGGGGAGGAGGAAAGGGAAGAGCCTCGAAAAAATTATTCCAAAATGTAGCCAAAAGAACAAACAATAAAAAAAACTCTTTGTTTGCGTTGTGTAAAGTCTATGATTCAGTATCTCCTTAAAACACAAAGGATGTACTTTTTTGCGTTTTATCCGATTGTTGCTTTAAAAGAGGAAAGTGCTTTAAAATGAGGTTGTGAATAGATTTCTAGAGAATATTTATTTATTTTCAAAGCAGAAATATCTAATACTAAAATATTCGGCTTCACATTTTGTGAGGAGGAGAATCTATGAATCTTTCGAAGGTGCAGGAGCCAGCTGAACAGTGTAACTGTCAGTGTTCGGGGTTATGGGTTAATACGGTCCGTGTCTCTCTGGACGGCCGGTGAAAGACATGGAAATGAAGTGACACCCATGGAGATACAGCAGCCTGCTGGGCTGCCATGTCTTTCTGTCAGTGCCAGCAACGGACGAGAGAAAAAGAGAAGAAGCAGTCGATTTGTTCTCCTCTCTCGCTCCCCTCCCTTCTCTCTTTGTCTGTGTTTTATCTGGCCAACGGGGGGCTGCATGCAGACTGGGGCTGGGTGGCTTTGAAGCCCGAGCAGCACTGTGTATATGTGTTTGTGTGTGTGTGTGTGTGTGTGTGTGTGTGTGAGTGTGAGCTCGTCTTAATTCTGCAGAGTTCAGTTATCATTCCTCAGCAGAGCCTAGCGATGCCCCCGGGCCATCTCTCCTTCCACCTCCTTCGCTTTCTCTGTTTTCTTGCTTTCTCTTACATGCAAACATGAGAGCAGGAGTGACGTCTTCAGCACTTCCATGAGACAGAGCAAGAGGGAGGGAGGGAGAAAGAGAGGGGAGGCAAGCGTGATCTCCGAGTAGCCGGTGTAGCAAACAGATATTCACAGTCTGATTGAAGCGGCTCATCAAACAGCCTCTGAGCCCCTCAGTCACTGTCTCTGTTTCATTAAGATTTGTGGAGTAAATGTCATGTGAATCCCTGGAGTCATCTGTTTGTGGTTCACACACACACACACACACACACACACGAAGATATTTCTCATATTCACACACAAAATTCATGCCCAACATGTGCATTTACACATCTGCAGATACATATATAGGAAGGAGTTCGAGGAAACCAGCCTCAATGAACAAAAGATACTGGATCAGTGTTATAAAACCCATCAAAGCTTTCGAGATGAATTTCTTGCATATACTTTCTGTGTTTCTTTACATGTGCTTCCCCCCCCCCACCTAACTGACCTGTCTTTACTAATAGGTGCCGGTGCTGCAGCCAATGGACTTGATGGTTGAGGCTACAGCCCGGCGTGTATTCAGCAATGCTCACACTTACCACATCAACTCCATCTCTGTCAACTCCGACCTTCAGACATACATCTCCACCGACGACCTCAGGGTGAACCTGTGGAACCTGGAGATCACCGATCGCAGCTTCAGTATCCTCTCACTCGGCTCATCGGTGTTTGGGAACTGAAAATGTGGGGAAAAAAGGACGAAAAGTAACTATGTAATTCAAATCTGTTTGTACAGAAAATGTAAGCTAAATACTGAGGGTATACACAGTGTTGGTCTAAATGCCCACAGTAGGTGTCTTAAGATTGTAGTTGTTCCTTAGTGCCTGTCTCTCAGACATTGTGGACATCAAGCCAGCCAACATGGAGGAGCTGACGGAGGTGATCACCTCAGCAGAGTTTCATCCCCAGCAGTGTCACACCTTTGCCTACAGCAGCAGCAAGGGCTCAATACGCCTCTGTGACATGAGAGAGGCCGCGCTCTGCGACAAACACTGCAAATGTGAGTACAAGTAGAGTGCATCATGGGAAAAATGATAAAAGAGTGAAGAGAAAGATCAAAAAGATTTCTTTATAGATTTTCTTTCAAGTGAAAATGTTCTATAATGTTAACTATTATTTTCATCGTATGGTGCTTCATTGTGTATTTTGTGGCAACTCAACTCAAGCGTTGATTATTGGATTTCTTTTTTACAGTTGCTTTATTCATTTAACTGTTTTATATTCTATATCATCTACATGTTGCTTCAAAGCCTTCTATCTAGCAAGTGTCTGCATAGAATACCCCTTACTGGGATAAATAGTTGAACTGTATCAAATTGAACTACAGAATCCCTTTAACTTATTTTAATGACGGTCACATTCAGTCAAAAAGACATTAGAGCCAGTCTTCTGAAACCCACTGTGTGTAATTTGAGTTTTATTGTAATGTAGCTCCCTTTCCTGGCCATTAAATCCCCTAAAACAACACAAAGAACTTGACCTCAGTGAAGCTGAGTAGTATAAGGAGGATTAACTAAAGAAGAACAGAAGAGAGTGCTGCAGGTTCATCTAAATCTTTAAATTCATGAGAGTGATGGAAGTGGGAGAACAGAAAGACTTTTAACATGGTTCAACATGGTGGCACCCCGGTTGCGAAATCACACTCGTTTTTTTTTTCTGCTTCAGCTCCACCTTTGTGTGGCTCAATATGCCAGGATTGATAACCCATCAATAATTCTCGCTGTGTGTTTCAAACAATGAATGGCCTTTTCTAAAGCCAAATGAATAATGAATACATTGACATTTTCTCTGGAAAATCAATGGCTTAAGAGCAATCGCATTAGTCCCTCATGGACACACCTTGTTAATCAATAACGTCAGTCACGTCCTCAGACATATTGATGCGTTCACTGGACCATGCGCTAACGCAGCCTGTTGAATTTCACATGAGCAGTTATTTGCAGGCGAAATGAGTATATAAGTGACGTGAAAAGTTTGGAAAATTGGTGTTAATTTTAAGTTGTGGTATTCACGGCTATTTTCATATCGACATGTACGTGCCATTAGGTGCTTGCAGTGCGCACACACACACATGCACACACACACACACACACGCTGAGCAGGCAGGTGCTCTCGTTAGCCTCAGGACACGGTCTGCTGATACCGACCTACTGTCTCACTGCATGAACGCTGTTGTAGCTCAGAGCGATGTATTATGCCGTCCCTCCCACGCATGCACTCAAAAACACAGCTTCTCCTTCCCTTGACGTACACACACACACACACATATACACACACAAAACCTCCTGAACCTTCCACATAAAATACACAATCATATCACATCCCCTCCCATACCTGTAAATCTGAGAGGCTGCTGGTATCAGTCAGCGTTAGATTGAGGATGGATGGAGGGATTGGGGAGGATTGCCAAAGCGCTGAGCCCCAGGACAGAAAGAGAGGGACCATGCCGACTCCCCAGGGACCCTATTATACACCCCTAGAGTGGGACGGGAGGGAGGGCAGGGACACACACACATGCATAAATACATGCACATATTGCACACACACCCACTTATACACAAACACTCACACACACACAAATCCAGCGGGGCCCAAATGGGCCCAGCACTTTGACATTGATTTGTTTTTCTTATCCCTTCCTCATCCCCCCCATTTTTTCATCTCTCCCGCCGCATCCCTCGGTAGACTCCCCATTGACACATCACAGAGCCATTCTCCAGGCCTCAGCTGAGGAGGAGGGGAGGGATGGGGGAGAATGGTGGGGGCATTTTTGGAGCAATGGAGAGGAGAGAGGGGAAGAAGAGGGGGGGGGGGGGGAGAGAGGAGGAGGAACAATAACTTGACAGCTAACGATGGAATGCCTGGCTCTTATCCCCAGCGTGTTGGCCTGCACACAGATCAGCAGCTGCCAGAATCAATATGAATCATAACCAATATTTACCCAGCATGCTGACCCACGACTCTCTCCCTAAACACACAGAGAAATAATACCGGGAAGAGATACAGCTGCTGCAGAAAAACCCCACATCCAGGCATTGTTGTGGCTGTTATTGTTCGCTAATGACGGCCCCCACCACCCAAACACAATCAACTTTGTTTTATTCTCGCTGCAAATGATGAAAAAGTCTTGCGGGAGGAAAAAAAACATCTCTTTTAAGCAGCGACGTCCCGCGGTGTAAACCGTGTTTTCTCTGTCAGATGATGACTGCCTTTTGTTGTTTTTCTCTCGTAGACTTTGAGGAGCCAGAGGATCCCTCCACTCGCTCCTTTTTCTCTGAAATCATCTCATCCATCTCTGACGTGAAGTTCAGCCACAACGGGCGCTACCTGATGACAAGAGACTACCTCACTGTCAAGGTGTGGGACCTTCAAATGGAGAACAAACCACTGGAGACGTACCAGGTAAGCCTTCGTCTTGCTTTAAAGTGCCTGTTGGACAGTTCGAAGGCTCCAAAGATAATCCTAAATAACAGCTAGGCCGGGATCAAATCAAAACGTATTGATTTCAGAGTAATCACTCAACATAATCCTGTTTCACTGTCACCCTGCCAATCCGTAGCCGTGTCATCTTATGCAATTACCCCGGCAGGGCTTATTGAGCCAACTGTTCTCAAAAAGACAGATAGTGGCGGTGCTGATGCAACCTGAAGGGCAAAACCTCCCACTGTGTGGTCACCGGGGTCAGATCCACCCTGTGTGATCAGGGGAAGCCATCTTAGTGCAGGTCATGATTGATAAGGCTATCAGCTGGGCTCAAGGGATTCTCTGTCCAATTCCACCTGCTACCTAGCATCTTAGCGTGGCTCACCAGGTCTGGGAGGGGTTATTGAAACTAGAGCATATGGCAGTGCAGTTTAAGGTTATATGGTTGTTCACTTAAAAAAAGGTAATGTGACGAACTTTGGGTGCTGGGAAAGTGTGGTCGTGATCCAACAGCCACTTCATGTTCTGATTTGTTTTTCAGGTGCATGACTATTTACGAGGCAAACTCTGTTCTCTGTATGAGAATGACTGCATCTTTGACAAGTTTGAGTGTGTCTGGAACGGATCAGACAGGTGAGATTTATTTATTATCCATCCATCCATCTATCCATCCATCCAACTATCTCAATAACCCGCCGCTCTCCTCTGCTCCTCCTCAGCGTCATAATGACCGGCTCCTATAACAATTTCTTCCGAATGTTTGACCGGAACACTAAACGTGACGTCACACTGGAGGCGTCCAGGGAGAACAGCAAACCCAGAGCAATTCTGAAGCCTCGCAAGGTACAGCACCGCTCATCAATAAAAGTTACCGGATTCCTAAGACATCTGGATTTGTTTTATATTGCCAGGGCCTCAACTTGGCTTCAAATGAGTGTTGTTTAGATATCCTGATGACTGTGAATCTTCATAGATAAGCTACAGTACGTATAATTATGATTATATCCAATCATATCCTGTGTGAAATCCATGCACTGAACTAGCTGTGATTACTAGCACGAATGTGAAAAATAAAAACATTTAGAAATGAAATAAAAAACTTTTTACTAAGTTTGTTTAGCTTTAATTACTCTATTCAGAAAGAGTTGGATTCATCAACATCAGACTTTTAGCCTCTCTTGTTCTTTTTACATTGTTTATCTTACTTTTATTTAACAACTAGCTGGTGAACATTTAGCAGCTAAAGAGCCAAATATGTCCCTCAGAGGCCAAAACAGAGCGTAAAGCTTAACACAACTCCAAATGAATGCCAATGTTGCTCCGTGTCTCCTGGATGTGTAAGTTGCCAACTTCTTTGCCACATCTACTTTATGAGGTGATATTATATCAGTGTTGTGTTTCACAGCGCGTTCTGGTGCCCCCAAGTGGGCAAAAATAAACACTGCTTTAAAAATCACTGAAATCTTTGTGAACTTATGCGTTAAAAATGGTGCAAACTCATAACCTAAAAGCATATCTATCCCTACTGTTGTCCTCCAGGTGTGTGTCGGTGGGAAGCGTCGTAAGGATGAGATCAGTGTAGACAGCCTAGACTTCAGCAAGAAGATCCTTCACACTACATGGCACCCCCATGAGAACATCATCGCAGTAGCGGCCACCAACAACCTCTACATCTTCCAAGACAAGGTCAACTAAAGAGCAGTCTGCCCCTGCTGACCCCCGGCTGGGTTGGAGAAAGAGGGATGGAGCCCTTACATACATCCTTCTCCTCTCCCTATGTCTTGAATTTTGCCGCTCTGCTGAAGAACAGTAGAGATAATTATCCAGTGACAGAAATTGCGGACGGTCTGAATTTTGGGAAGTGGGGAAATTGATACAACCTGGATATAGCGTGAGGAAAACGGCTCCTCAGAAATTCGAGAATGGACTTTCATTCTTCAATTTGACTTCTAATTTAATTTATTTAGCCGTGCGGACACCTGGAGAAGTGAATCCCGTGCATTAATGCAACGAGAGGATTGCTGCACGAATGACACGATGTAGCAGCCCTCCGGACCCCGGAGAAAGGGGTTGGATGTGGGTACACTGAACATTAAGCAGAGCACACCGACAGAAACCTAGCTTACATGACGGTGGCTCGTTGTCATGTAGCAACAGTGCCCCCTCTCTTTCAACCTGCTCATGCTACAGTGCATGTGATCAACCCTGCGTTTTGGACAGTGCAACCTGCTGCAGAGTTCCTACAAAAGAGACTGTTAATGTCTGACCCCAGAAACTGAGTTGTGAGCTGTGACACACAACATGGTCAGTCTTTCAAGTACCAATTCTGTGTCTCCCTGGTGAGACTGCTGTAGTCTGTAATGTGAATGAAGCCCTTCTGGGCCATGTCAATGGTTTTATTTAACGCTGTTGTTTTATTGAGTCCTTCGCTCGGTCAATGAGTCTGTCTAGAAGCTGTGGTGCCTTCTTTTGGTATGTGGGGGTTTGATGTA